CAGATTTAATGACCTTAAGACCTACAAAATCCAGTACCTCCCATAATAATTAATGCCAGTCAGCTATTCCTCTGATCTTTTTGTTTTTTCTACTTCCCATCCTCCCTGCACCACATCTATTAACTTACATTAACACAATCATGTGATAAATGTCCCAATGAACTATGCAACAATATCCAGAAACAATCAGAGAGATCGAAATCTGTTCCTGAGGTCATATATTCTCACTCAGCCTTTCCCTTTATTAGCCATTCAGACAACTAAAGGGACTATTTAAGAGTAGTCTTTGTGAGATACTGAACTCAGATCTGTTGGTGCAAATATAAACTTGTGAATTACTGCGCTATATGGTTATCCAGCTGTTAAAAGCTTTAACTGAAGAGTGACTTGAACACCTACCCTGTCCAAATCATGAATGAAACCTGCTGTTTTGAATCCTTCATGAACGCAAAGGCTGACAAAATAAGTTCATATGGAGAATCACATAAAAAGTCTCCGAAAGGGCCTGGGTCAGAGGCATTGGCTCCTTTGGAAGAAGAACAAACTTTGGTGCGATCAGGGGTAATGTGGTAAGTCGGATCTAAATGTAGGTCAGATACGTGCCAGAACTGCCCTGTTTTGAGAAAACAAAAGATTAAAGAAAATGAATTATTTGCATTTGAACTGGATATACATGGGTAATGCCAAGTTTATTCCAGTTTGCCTACTGCTGTTCCCCTTTCAAGTTTTGAAAAGGAGAACTTAACAAATTGTTGATTAGCCCACTGATAAGTGTGGGTGAGCTCTGCATTCCTGACAGGACTCCTTCATGTAATCTGCTTAGAAAACCTGAAAACAGAAGCAGAAGTATAGGTTTAAGCTATTGAGCAGGGAAAAAAAAGGAAGCTGGTAGGGACTGGAAAATCAGGTCCTTTTCATGAATAGCGATGTGGAAACTGGAGACTTGAGGTGATAGAAGGACTTCTCCACTCTACCTGAAAAGAGATGGAGTTGCATTTTAATTATTTTTCCAGATCTTCCCTAGCTGGGAGTTACTACAGAAGATCACAGCCTAGAAAAGAAAGGCAAGAAACAGCATGCATGCAAACATTTCAAAGCTCTTCTCCCCAGCAGCCACAGTAGCAAAGAGGCTGAGATTCTCACCATAGAGATGTGTGTCAGCCTTACCTACTCACTACTTTCCAGGGAGACACATTGTCAGCCACTGCTACTTAAGCACTGCAAGGAAAAAGGAGCTGAGAAGTATATGAATATGGTGAACAAGATGAATTAAGCTTGTATCAGACTACCAGCCCTTAAGCTTCATGTAAATAAGAGCAGTTTATCTCTGTCAGTTTGCAAGCACTTGGAAAAGGCACAGGTGTGTATGTGGTGGTACTTGTGAAACCGGGACAGATATACATTGATTTTTCCCAAGGTCACATGCTCATCCCGTGGCAGAGCAGGCACCACGTGAATGGAACCCTGTGGATTTTTATTTCAGGAAGCAAAGGCCAGCACCGATCTTCAAAACGTGCAACACGGTTACTCCTACCAACAGGAGACAGAGAAATGCCCGGACACTGCTGGTCCTGTTTGGTCCGAGGGATGTACGAGTCACAGGGAATGAAAATCCTATGGAAACCATTTTGGTGCCCTCGCAGAGCGTGTGAGTGTGTGTGTGTACGTGTACATGTGTGTGTGACGTGCACACGTGTGTGTACACATCGATCCCACTCAACCTCCCATACCTGAACAGCCACGCTTACTTATCTAGACATCACCTGAAGCTGCAGCAAGCTGGGACAGGGACTAGCACCGCAGCAGCCCATGTGCGGAGAGGGACGGAGAGACACAGGCCCGTACACCCCGGGCGGCCGCCGGGCCCCGCCGGCAGCAGGAGGAGCGGGCGG